AAGGCTGAGGCGGAAGGATTGCCGGAGCCAAGCAGGTCGAGGCTGCGGTGGCCGGGAGCGACAGAGTGAGACTCCAACTCAAAAAAAAAAAAATTTCACTTTTTTGTGGCATATAGTTCTATGGGTTTTGACAAATGCATAGAAGTATACACAGTTCCATACAGAATGTTGTTGCTAAATTCTGCTGTCTCCATGTGGCTCTTTGAGCTATGGCTGCTATGTTTTCTTAGCTTTGGCCCTCTCCCCTACTTTGGGGAGGTGAATCAATCTCTCTCTCTCTCTCTAATTTACTTTCTAGATAGACTTTGTTTGAAAACTTAAAAAGAAAAAAAGTCATAGTAGGACATTTGAAGTGTTACCAAGGTTTTCCCCGGCCTTTTATTTTAAGATAAGTAGCAATGTGACTTGTCATTTATTTAAATGATTTTTATAAATGCTCTGAAAAGTAAAATTGATACTTTTATAAACAGAAGTATATGCAAATAGTCAAAGTAGGCATTAGGACAAGTGATGATATTTCATACATACCAGGTGGTTCTTTTATCCTGCAGGACACCTCTTATCCATCTTGCCTATCTTTCTAAATCATCTTCTGCTTGTTACACTGTGCCTCAAGGATGCCTTACACTGTCCTGCCTGTGCTCAGGACAGTTTTTTCGTCTACCTGGAAATCCTTTTCCTTCCTCTCTGTCAGTTTTCTTTTACAGAAACATTTTTATAGAAATATACCAATACCAAATAAGTCTCTTGATGAAAGAGTCTGTGATAATCTTCCTGGAACCCTCTCTCTGATTTGGTTTTAGCCTCCATTTGTCTCATTTCCTTTGTTGTCCTCACTGTGGATATTTTATCAAAGTATAGTTATAGGTTGCCTTCTTGTCTACTCAGTCTGGTGAAGCGTCCTGCTTATTCAGCTAGAATGTGAGATTCTGAGGCTTCTAGCCAAACTCACCTGTTTTAGGGAAGAAGAAACTTAACTTCATTGTGGTTATGTGATTCATTTGTACTACCAATTAGATTCATTTATCAAATCATAACCCCTATAACCACAACCAGAGGTGACACATGATAGGGACCTGTTGCCTTAGGCCTGTTTACATGTGGGGCAAACAGCCTTGGTTGCCTGGTAAAGGCAGCCTCTTACAGAGAAACCCTGCCATCTCCTGGTTGGTGCTGAAAGAGCACAATTAAAATTGCAGTTGCCATGAAAATATTTTGGGGATGAAAATATTCTGTATGGAACTGTGTATAATTCTATGCATTTGTCAAAACCCATAGAACTATATGCCACAAAAAAGTGAATTTTAATTAACCAGAATGTGGTAGGAGTTGGGAGACAGAGAGATGGAATGCACATTTGACAAATGAATCTAACTGGTATTACCAATGAATCATAAAACCACACTGAAAGGAATGGGGAAGAAAGCAACTAACCTTTGAAAACAGTGTCCTGTCTGTATATTGTAAGACTAAAGACAGAAAGAATTGTATATAAAGTGCTCTAGTTTATAGAATTTGTCTCCTTCATTTTTTTTTTTTTTTTTTTCCTTTTTTGAGTTGGAGTCTCACTCTGTCACCCAGACTGGAGTACAGTGGCCGCTCCTGGCCTCTGCAGCCTCGACCTGCTGGGCTCCGGCGATCCTTCTGCCTCAGCCTTCCAAGTAACTGGAACTACAGGCACGTGCTACCACACCCGGCTAATTTTTTGATTTATTGTAGAGATGAGGTCTCGCCAAGTTGCCCAGGCGGGTCTCGAACCCGCAGGCTCAGGCAGTCCACTCACCTCAGCCCCCCCAAAGGTGCAGGATTACAGGCTGAGCCACCGAGCCTGGCTGAATTTGTCTCCTTCAAAGTTGTGTTAGGAATTCTGTTGCTACTAGGGTTGAACAAGCAAGTAAATGAGAGTCAGTTTTCTCACATCAGAGAAATAAGTTATAAATCAGGAAAGGGAGAGTCTAGAATGAAGCCTCTAGTACTAGATTGGAATCAGTGATATTAATATTTACTCATGTATAAATATATGGTATCAATATGTATTCATGAACGAATAGATAAAATATATAGAGATAGTAGATAGATAATATAGATATGTGTGCGGGTACATGAGTTAGTATACATACATGTATTCCCAAGCTCTAGCCACTGAGAAGGGGCTAAAGTGATACCCCAACAGCAGTGAACACACCTGGCACCCAGATCTTGGCTTTCAAATTATCAGTAAAATGAATCAAGACTCATTGGAGAACTGATTGATTCCAGGGCTGGGGTAAGGGACCTGGAGCTGGAGCCTCTTATGGTGCCAGAAAGTTAGGAAGTACTTTAAAAAGAACAAAAGTGAGGGGAGCTTATAGCTTCTAATGGCTAAAGTTGGAACAACTTGAGCCACAATGTAACTGTAGGGTTACTTTGTAACCCAAAGAATAAAATAAATATTCATGAGTTCATACTGAAAGAAATGGCTAAATAAATAGAGAAGTGTTGATCCTTTCTCATAAAAGAATTTCAGCTAATACATGTAGAAGGAATGATGAAAGATCACCATTAGAATACTACAGTATAATTGCTGCTGGCGAGATCCACTGATGGATGCTAAAATAAGTGGGCATAGGTTT